TAGGCCCAGGGCACTGCCGTGTGGCTTGCTGGCCGAGTGCTCGTCTTCCAGACAGGCTGCAGGCCGAGCACTCGCCCTGCGCGGGAGGGGCGGGGCGGCCACGGGGTCCACCGCAGTGTGGGGAGCAGGCAGGGATCGCGGCGCTCGCCCTCCGGGGCCCACTCACTCGCGGCCCTGCGGCCCACCCGCCGCACTCGTCGCCCTGCCCTGCGAAGCCTCCCTCGGGAGGACAGGGGGTGCCAGGCTCTGGGGGGGGCAGCTAGTCCCCACAGAGAGGGGGCGTCTGGGTGCTGACTGGGGGGAGGGGGCGGCACTGTGGGGCAGGAGGAAGCAGGTATCAGGGCACCAGGGGCTGAAGAGCAGGGCTGTTGGTAGGGTCGGGTCTGGGGGCCCTGCTGGGATAAGGGTCTCCTCCTCCACTCTTCCCCGAAGCAGACTGCGGCTTTCTGTGTGAGGCATTCGCGTCCCAGCTGCTGCACGCGCATCAAAGACAGCAGAAGGCCTCCCCAGGACCCTATGGGGCCAAGAGCACCCCCGAGGTCCTCTTGTAGCCCGGCTGCAGTCATCTGCCCAGTCATCAGGCCACTGCGGTCAGCAAGTGGCTGCGCGAAGGAAGCACCACCCTCCCCAGGCTGTTTTAAGCGGAGTGAAAGGCTGAGAGCAGACTCACGCCTCCTGATGGGGAAGCAGCACTGTTCCCAGGCCTTCACCCCGCAGCTGGAGATCAGGCCTGAAAATACGGTTGTTATGGAACCCGGGGCCTGCTTTCTAGAAGGTGATACTTTGGAAGCAGGAAGAAGAAATTGTTCAGATGATTTTTGTTTTGTGTGGAAATGGTTGAGGGCTGCCCTGGAGCTAAAACCTTCACTCTGGGCAAGAGTGGGAGCATGGAGGGTGGCCATGCCGTCCAGGGCAGTGCTGGGGGCTGGCGTCACTCCTCAGCCTGACTGGGGACAACTGGACCCCCACCGTGGACAAGATAGCTCAGGGCTGAGCCATGCAAACTGGGAGACTTAGGAAGACTGCTCAGAGGAGGTGACTGCACACTGTGGGTGAAGCTGGCTTCCCTGCCTGTCCCTCCCACAGTGACACCCCTTCAGGTGCCCTGGGCCTTCATGCTCCCTCCCTGCCTCATCAAAACTTTCCTTGTCCCCCAAGGACCTTATCAACTATTTGTCCCCTAAAGCAAAAGGAAAGCAATGAGCCCTCTCTCCCAGGAGGAATTACCGGTTAGGTCTTATTTTCTAGACTTTATATCCAATGCTTCAGTGAGAGATTGGGAGAAACTCTTCACATCCCTTACCCTTGGTTACGCGTAAGCTCAAGACCGTTACTAGGACTCACAGCTTACCCTGGCTCATTGGAGCCCTTCTTTCCTTGGCTGGGCTCTAGAAGACCCTGCTCTGGCTCTTCTCCAGCCAGGCCCCTCCCCTGAGGCAACAAGTAAGTGGGGCACAGAGATGCTGTCAGCCAGGGTCCTTTCCCTTCACTTCTAGTTCATGTTCTGGGGACCCAGGACCCCATGTCCCCTATACTTGTCCAGGGCCTGCATTGTCTTCCTCCGAGGGGCAGACCACACCACAATGTGCACCCCTGGTCACCCAAGTGGTGGCCAAGAGACTATTTTCAAGGGGAGGGTATGGGATGGAGTGTGGGTTCATGGGCTGGGGTGCTTCCTGGTGTGCACTTAAGCCCCCTTGCTGCCATGCTAAGATGCAGCACTCCCAGGAATCCAGGAACGTAAACTTGGCCTTCCTGGTGGTTGTGGTAGAAGTGGGTCTGATTGGGTATGTTCTTTGGCTACACCCAAAATCAGGATTCAGATCACAAGAGAGAGAAAACTTCAGGGGACAGAGAGAAAGAGAGGGAGAAAGAGTAAAGGCAATTTATTTCTGTAATGAATTCATAAAATTAAATTGTGGCATTGACTCAGTTGTGTTAAGGAAAAGATGGAGGAAATATTCATGAAAAGAAAAAATTTTTTCTTCTCAAAACTGAGGGTATACAGAATCCTATTGTGCCCAAAAGTAAGGAAGTGCTTAAAAAGTGATGTGAACGTGTGAAAAAAACACAGGAGCAGTTTAAAGGGGCTCCCACTGACGAAATCTTGGACAATTTGAACATCAAAATAAATAATAAGAGTGATAGATTACAATTCATTGAATAAAATAGGAATCCATGAGTTTATGCTTGTATAAATAAATAATCGAATAAGAAATATAGGAAAAGGAAATGCTCTTTTTTACAGTAGAAAGCAAACAAAATGTAGGAGTTATAGAATGATCACTTCCCAAACATCATAGTAATAATTGATTCAGGCAAGAATCATCAAAGAAGGCTAAAACTAGTAGGCAAAAGTACTAGTTTCATAGAAACTAGTGTCTACAGGAACAGGATGTTTGCATAGTCACAGGTATATCATAACAAAACATTTAGTAATTACAAAGGGAAAAAGCAGTAACTTAGCAGTGGAGACAACTGGCAGACCAGGTGATAAAAGTTAACATCCTCAGCAAAGGAACAAACTGACATCGTGTGCCTGCTGATATGATGCAATCAGGATTCAACATTACTTCTACGGCATTCCCACCCAAACGCAAAACCTCAATCCAATCCTGTGGAAACATCAGACAAACTCCAACTGAGGGCCACTCTACAAAACTGTTTATACTATTCAAAGTTGTAAAGGTAATAAAAGATAAAGACAGACAACTGACTAAAGAGACAAGACAACTAAAGGCAATGTGTGATTACGGATTGGATCGTGGACCAGAAAAAAATGTATAAATACAGTTACAAAGGATATCATTGGGACAATTGGCAGAATATGAATCAGGTCCATAGATGATAGTGTTGTATCAATATAAAGATCTTGATTTTTGTCATAGTACTGTGCTTAAAGAGAATATCCTTGTTCTTAGAACAAGTGTTTGAATACTTAACGAGTCATCATGTCTGCAACTTACTTTCAATAGTTCTGAGAAAATATGTATAAAGAGGAAAGGTAAAGTGACAAAGCAAAATGTTAGGACTCTGGATAAAGGGTTTCCTAGAGCTCCTCACTTCCCTTATCTCTGCATCCTTCACCATTCCTCTGGCACAGCCCCAGCCACCCCCACACAGAAAAGCCCTTGACCAGCCCTTGCCTGTCTCTCTGAGTGAGAACAACAGTCCCGGGTTCTCTCTCACCCACCTCTTCCTGGTCTGCCAGAGACCACAGGGCTCCAGCCAGCTTCCCTATAGACCTTCCTGATCCCTGAACCAAAAGTCCAAGATGAGAAGCCAAACATGATAATCTTGGGGGTAATAAAGAAACTGTAGCCCAAGACAATTAAAAATACCAAAAATTTAAAAACTTTCTAATGACACCTCACCTTTTTTACACAACATTTTGTACATTTCTTCCATTTTGAGTTTTTTGGGGGGAAGGTCATAATAAAAAAATATGCATCATATTGAAAGTAAAGCTCTGACACTATTTGGCATGCCTAATAATTTCTACTTGTCTGAATTTGATTGACATAAGGCATATGACACCTCAGCTTCTTATCACTAGCATCAGCACTTCTAGTTTTCTACTTCCAGTCATTTGTACAGTATTAGGGAAAGAGTGTAGCGCTACACAACATTGCTGCTCAGAAAAGACGGTGATGCTGCTGAAGCTTGCGTGCTGGCTGGTGGGCAACTCCATCGAGTGATGGCTCAAAATGTGCATTTATCAGCTGAGGCATACAAGTCCAAATTTAGCACACAGTGATTTATGGGCTAACGAAAAAGGCACAAAAGCACAGGTTTTATGAAACTGGAGCTTAAAAAAGAAAATGTCCTATATAAATTGCTAAGAGGTAACAGTGAGAAGAGTGCTTAAAAAGCTACGAAGATACATCATGATGTCACTGACATGTGCCCAGCAGAGTTAGGCTCCTTCCTCTGTGCTCCCCGTCCAGCCTGCACAAATCTGGACTTAACCTTTACCATGTGTGTCACTGTAATTGGTAATCCATGTACATAAACATACACACACATGCAATCACTCCCAATAGACCAGGAATTTCTTTTAAAAAAGTAATCATATTTTATCCTTTTTTGACCAGCTTCAGGCACAGTGCCAGGTATATATATAGATGTTCAACAAAGAATTGTATAATCAATGAATTGTATGAATCAGGTATCCCATAACCCACATCTGGGACCAGATCATTGCTGTGCTCTGCTTGCTTCAAGTCACTTTTCCAACATTTATGCAATAATTCACATTGTTCCTATTCATCTATCAAATATACAGATTCGAGAATTGAAAGGGCCAATGTTTCACGACACTCAACATGCCTGCAGTGTCCAGACCAAACTAAAGACAGATTTATTGATGTATCTCAAAAAGGTTACTCTTGATGTGTTTCCTAACTAACTGGAAACAGTTCTGAAAACCAAGCCAAAATGCAAGTTCAAGATATTAGGGCTGAACTTAGTGAGGACGAAATTACATAATTTGGATAGGCCCTCAGTTTTAGGATTCTTATTTATGACAAAAGAGAATAACAAAGCTATTTTCTTTACCATAAATGAAAAAAAACCTCAAAAATAGTTTATAATAAGCATAGAATTCTCTCACCCAAAGAACTAGAGTACATTATATCATTTTATAGCTGGAAACCTATTCTCCAAACTTCTCCATTTTACAGATGAAGAAAACTAAGATACTGTTTCAGTAAGTGGGTTTCCCTTGGGGCTGGGGAGGGTGGGGAACAAATTGGGCATCAAGGTGCACACTGAAAATAGAAGACAGACATGTCCACGAGCATGGGGTGACTTAGATCTTGTGCCACAGATAGAGTCTTCAGGCTGTTTTACAAAGCCTGAGCCATTCGTGAGCAACAAGATACCATGCAAAAGAGCTCTGAGGGAGGACAGAGTTTTCAGCACAAAATTTTATGGATAGCTATGAAGTTATTTGCTGCTATGACAGATAAAGGGAACAGGCAAGAGTCATTTCAACCCACCTTTTCTCCAACCACGGGAGGTAGGCAGGGCCTTCGCATTTCAGGGTGGTGAAAGCCTGACCAAACACGTGTTGAGGGAATTTCTTCAGCTCCGCCTCGGTCATCTTTCGAAATCCCAGAACCACATCAGCCCAGAATGGCACTTCTTCCATAGGAAGGCTCTGAAATATCTGCCAACTCAAAAACATTAAGTGGAAAATTTCCCTGAGATTTTGTGACATAACATTTCTAGTAAACTCCATGTGACATATTCTCTAAAGCATTCTATTAATAAAAATTCACTTCCTATAAATACAAAGAGAAAAAGATCTATTCTTCCATTCTCTTGGGTTTACATAACTCAGTAGCTAAATCTCAAATGTTCATCTTTAGGGTAATAAGACATTTTTTAAATAACATACCTTTTTGTTTTTTGAGATGGGGATCTCTGTCTGTCGTCCGGGCTGGAGTACAGTGGTGCAATCATAGCCCACTGCAGCCTCAAACTCCTGGGCTCAAGCAATCTAACCCTCCTGTCTCAGCCTCCCAAATAGCTGGGACTACAGGTGCCCACTTCCACGCCTGGCTAATTTTTCTTATTTTTTGTGGAGACAGGGTCTCACTATATTGTCCAGGCTGGTCTTGAACTCCTGGCCTCAAACAATTCTCCCATCTCAGCCTCCCAAAGTGCTGGGATCATGGGTGTGAGCTACCACACCTGGCCAAAATAACATACCTTTTAAAGATTGAATTTAATACTCCTTTTCTAAAAAGCTCTTGCCCACTTTTTTAATTTTCTTATGATGATGCATTTTTGAGCAAAGTCTTTTCTGCTTTGCACAATGTTTTACATAAATCGTAAACAAAATGTTAAAAGTTTAAAGGTTAGCCTCAATTCTGAATGACATATCTAAATTGGAATAAGCAATGGCAGGTGTGAAGGAAGCAGAGGGGCAAATTATGAGTTAAGTTTAAGTCGTCAAGTTTAGCTGTAGGACTAGAGAGAAGCTAAGGGTTGCCAAGAGGAGTCCTGTTTTCATTAAGTCACTGGCATGATTGGGGTGGATGAGCCTGGAACAATATTGGTGGTTAACAAGAACCTATAATAATACTACTACTTATAGCTGCTGTGCATATGTTTGGATTTATAAATATTGGGTTGTCTTCATCTGTAAATGAATAAATGTTGTAAATCATTGCCCTAAAATAGCATTAACAATAGTCGCTAATGATTAACATACCAGAATTTATATCTCTAAGTAATTAATTCAGAGCAGTCCCCAGGAAGGTATTAATATAAATGTTGCTTGCTGCAGAGCTGTATGCTGGCCCACTTCCTGCTGCATTCTGCACCCTTGCCCTGGGCTAGATTGTCCTCTTTCATAAATTCACCACCAGCTACAGACCAAACACTCAGATGGCTACATCTCCAGCCCTGTTCTCTCTCTTGAGCTCCAAAAACACATCCACACCATGTTGCCTACTCCCCACTGGATAAGTCTACTTAGATGTCTCATGCAGTTACACACACACACACACACACACACACACACACACACACTTGCTCTTTCTCCAGCCTTACCCAACTCAGAAAATGGCAGCCATCCACCCAGATGCTAACACAGAAACCCAAGAGTCATCCTTGATTCTCTCTGCTGCCTTACCCCCGACATGCCATCAACTACAAGTCCCATCCAATCTCCTCTTGGGTATTTCTCAAATCTATCTACTCTCTATCCCGACTATCAACACCTGATTTATCCCACCATCTCTCTTCCCACAAAGCTATCCTCCACACTACAGGCAAAATATTTTCAAATGCAAATATGATCAGTTACTTCTCCATGAAAACACCCTCAACGGCTCCCCATTACCCTGGACGTTCTTCAGTCCCTCCAACACGCCACAGTGGCCCCAGACTCGGGTCTACCTGTGTGCTGTTCCCTCTACCTGGAATGCTGTCTCTTCTGTCTCCCACCTGCCTCTGTCCCCTTTCACCTCCACAACATCACCAGACTAGCTTACACTCTTCCCGATGGTCTTGGATGAAACTCTTTGTTCTGGGTGGCTTCTCATAACTTCCCAGAGGATGTTTGTTCCCCAGACATCCGCTTCCATGGCACCCTGTCCTCTTTCCCTTTGGTAACTCACGCCCCAATGAGTTTGGTAACTCATTAGATTTAGTGCATCTGAGACTATAAACTATGTGAGGGCAGGACTGTGTCTGTTTTACTTACAAATTCACTCAGCACACATTTATTAAGCAAGCATCTGCTTTGCACCAAGTGGCGTTACTAACTTGCTCACTGCTGTATCCCTGATCCCTAAGAGAGTACCTGATATTAGGGAGTGCTGAATAAATTGCTTTGGATGAATCAATAATGAAAGAATAAGGCTATACACTTATGCCAAAGATGCACAGGACATTTGCAAAGTCTTATTCTTGAAAGAACATTTGAATTTGGGATATGGCTGTTTCTAAGAATTACTTAGAGCTGAAGTTTGTGAATTAGATTGGATCATGTTGGTTTTGGACAAAAACAAAGAGTGACCATAAATCGATGCAAACAGTTTTCCTCTGTGGTTCATCAACTGGCTCTGGAGATAGTTACAAAGAAGAATCCATCCATGGATTGACAGAGGAGCAAAAGCTGCTACTTTGTGGAGGGGCTTTCGGGAAATTATTGATGTCAGCATCACCTTGGTGTTTGTGGATAGTGAGGAAAGACAAAAAGAGGAAAAGGGTTGAATCCCCCGAGGGAGGTGTGTGTGCCCACTGAAATGCCAGCGGGCAGCCTGACATCAAAAGAGGAGTTGGGGCAAAATGTTTAAAGCAGGCATAATGGTACAAAAGATGGTTTTGGGGCTTAGTAAAAGGCAAACATCCCTCTGCTCTTCTGAAGGCTGTAGGGGGACTGTGTTATCACGCACGGTTACACAGACGGCGCGTGTTATGTCAGATGATGATGCTGAGATATAAAGTAAAAGTGGTAGAATATTTAATGATCTCTTTAAGAAGATATTAAAAGATATTGTTGTGTTTTAAGTGTTAGCCTGTGTTAGAAATGTTAAATAGAATTTATTCTCAAACTTTCATTTAATTATGCATGTCTCCTGAAATCAGATATTAAAAATCAGATAGAAGTGTGTTAACCATTTCAGAAATCTTTTTTTCCAAATGGTACTTCAAAAGGCAACTTTAGTGCCTGCAAAATTTACTTCTTTAGATTATCTCATTCTCCAAGGACACCAAATAAATAAGACGTCCCTGTCCCTTAGGTCTCTGCACTCTTTCCAATGTCACACCGGTTTGCTTTCCATTAGCCACAATGTCCCCACATAACCCAAGCTCAATGTTTACTTCCTATGTGGTTTTTTAGCCAAATTTGCAAATCACTGCACAGTTCTTGAGAAAACTCAAAATAGTATTTGTGATGAGAAACTGCAGTGGTTGTTTATTGTTTAAAAAGTCTAACACTGTAACTTGTCTTTCTTAAGTTCTTTGGAGAAAGCCTATAATGCTCTTTCTAAATCCTCCTGCATCTAATTCAGCACTCTGCTCACTGCAGATACCCAATAAATAGTTTATGGTGAACTCCAATGTCTGTTAAGATCATCCTAAATTCTAAAGTGACTTGAGATTTCCTGACTTACCCAGACACCAGATGAACACCAGCAACCCCAGCTTCTGCAGAGCTGGCGATGGAGAGCAGGTGATCAAAAGTCTCTCTGAACCACTGCTTCTGCTTGTGAATGGGTGTGTCTGCAATCACAGAGCAAAGCAAAGAGGAACAGAAAGGAAAATGATGATAATGGCAGTGCTTCAGATAAGCTCCTTCCTAGAAATGGCAAAAACAAGGACGCAGGGAGGAACATTTGTATAAAGTACCACAGTGTGGAGGATCCGTCAGCAGCCAGAGTGCTGCATGTTGACACACGCCATCCATGTCTGCTCATATAATGATTAGTCGATGGACGGAAAACAGGCCAATCACAGAAAAACCTAACGTGTGAGCCAGCTGGAAGGTGGTCCTTGGCACTAGGTATATTCCAGAGGTCGTCAGAGGGTCTGTAACCAAGCTGAGCAGAGGTTAGTTTACAGCTGAGAGATCCATCTGGTCACACAGTTGAGGCGACAGGACAAGGACACGGCTTCTTTCCTGGGGGCTGAAATGCAGTGGATGACAAGGGCAGGTCTGGGGGGCCCAGGTCAGCCAGGGCAGGGAGCAGATTGCTTGTGGATGAGAAGCCCAGGGAGCTTGCCCTGCGAGGAACAGGGCCTGCATTGTGGGGGCAGCCCCTGGGGAAAAGCCCCCTGCAGGCCAGATTTCCCTGCCAGGGTGGCAGTTACCCTCCACACCATGGACTCAGGGACCAGCTCAGAGTAGCATTCCTGAGGCCAGTAGGGGTGTGGGGGGGCCACACATCCCCCAGGTGTCCCTGGCGGAGCACAGGGGGTTGGACCTGGACACAGGTTCTGGAATGGTGCCGGGCCTGTCAGGGAGGAAACAAGAGGCGGGGTTTAAGCCCTCGAATAATAGTGTCCATTGTAGGCACAGAGAGCAGGCATAACCCAAAGTCACAGACAAATCCAGCTGTGGGTGAACTATGTGGCCATCTGATGCCCGCGGAAGGATCATGAGAGAGACCCTTGGGAACATTTGCTCCCCACACAAAGTCCCCAGGTCAGTAGTAGAGTTTTAAAACAATTCACCTGTTATAGAGCCAATAAATATTTCTTAGTGTTGGATCTGTATTGTTGTTTTTAAACATGTGCCCATGTGAACTCAGTGTTTTATTCCAAAATTGGAGACCAAGGATGCTGGTTTAGAAATAAGAAATAAATAATAAGCTGCAGAGAAAACTAAATTAGACTGCATGTGGATTATATCCCAACGATCTGTGCCAGCGTGTGGGGCTGTATTGAAACACATCCCTCCGTTCCCACCCCAAGCCTCAAAGACAAAACGGTGGCTGAGGCTCACATGCTGCAGAAGTCATCCCCACAGAACAGACAATTCCCATTCAACAGTGGGTGAAGCAAGCCTGGTGACATAATTCATGTTCAAGTGCTGGTAAAAGAAAACTGTAGCCAGAGTGGTGGAAATAACAGCAAATGCTGATATAGCACCTACCATATGCCGGGCACTGTTCTAAATGCTTCACATATATTAACTTCTTTGATCCCCACAGCAACCCTATGGGACAGGCATGGTCCCCACATGGTATCGACATTTATGAGTACAGGAGATATTTACTAGTGGGGTTGGTCTGCATAGGGTCTAGGGGAGAAGTCCAAAGAGAAGACCAAAGTCTTTATCTAGCAGCACCAGGGAGAGAAAGACCCCAGGCCAGGAGACCCAGCCACCTGGCCAAAGAGAGCGTGGGCCTCAATGGACTGGATGAACTCTCAGATGAGCCTCTCTCTTCAAAAATGATTCCATGACTGCCAGGCAGTCTTCTGACCACTCAGGCCTGGTACAAGCAAGGGAGACCCTGGAAAATAGACACAGGAACTCCAGTCCCAGGAAAGGCGCCTAATGTGAGCTGGCATCTAGCAAACACACCAGGATCCTGTGTTTGTTTCCTGGGAGGCAGCTCCTAGGAGCTGACCTAGCCAAGTTCCTGAACCTGCAATGCCAAGCCTACTGCCCTCACCACCCTGGCAAAAGATGGGTTTATTCTTTGTTGGGTGAAACAGGGTCTCTGGACTGGGAAACACCAAGCACAGGCAAGGGCAGGGATGCCATACTGAAAACAAGAGGTTAAGGAAACGCATGCAGACTGGATGCTAGGACCCCAGACTCTTCTCCCTTCTTCTTCTAGAATGCTGGCAGGCCTTCACCCTTCCCAGCCAGGAGATGGAAGCTTCTTCTCTGGGGAATGTGACCTTCCCAAGAAGAAAGACTTAAACGTGATGACATCAGAGGTTGCCCAATTAAACAGCCCTGCCATCCCACTCCAGGGAGCTCTCAGGCAACGAGTCCTAAGCAAGCACCCAGAAACTTCCGTCTGTGCAGGGTCCCACTCATAAGCATCAGCAGGCAGGTAAAGATTCTCACACAGCCAAGGAAAACCTTATCATCAAAAATAAGGAACATCACACAAAAAACACAACTTGGAGATGACAGAAACTATGCAGGGAGAAAAATTTTTACTAATATCTTCAGAAAGATGAAAAAGGACATTGTAACCATATGACACAAATAGGATGTTATAACAAAAGAACGTTCAGAGAACAAAACAAAAGCTTTGGAATATTAAAAATGTTATAGTAGAAATAAAAAATTCAATAGCAAGGAAAAAGACAAAATTGGGAAAATCTCAAGAAAGCAAAATAGAGACAGAGATAGAAATAGAGGGGAAAAGCTAAAGGAATTGGAGGACCTGTCCAGGAGGCCCCATATGACAGCAATTCCAGAAAGAGAGTCAGAGACATCAGGAGGAGGAAATGAACAACTGAGTAACTCAAAGGCTCCTTCCTGGACTACAGAACAGTGTTTCCAGATTGAAAGGACAAGGCGATTCTTCTATTCCAGATTGTTGCTTTTTGTAATTAATGTTGTAAATTACTTGACTGTTTAAACTTATGTGCACATATAACTTTGATAAAGAATAAAAACTAAAAGGGAAAAAAAAGAGAGTGGAACTGAGGAAGTGGGGACAGTGTGTATAAACCTCGTTAGCTGCAAGGTGATCTTGGTCAATGCTATTTCCCTCCTCTCACTGAACGTGTAGAAGGCAGAATGCAAAGGATGCTTGGCCGGGTTCAAGGCTCAGTGCATCTTCAGACCTAAATACATATTGACTCGTTGTTTTTATACTGGCTTAGAAGCTAGGATGATTTTAGTGCCATTACAAGTAATTTCTGAAAGACTTAGAGTCACCAACTGTTTAGTCCTCCCTGCTGTTCATCAAATGCTTCTGCTACGCATCTGGGGGCCTCACAGAATCGCACCTGCCGGCCTCCTCCTGAGGGGTGGGGGACGTGACTAGCTCTGCCAATGAGCTATCATCAGACGTGGTGAAAGTCACTTCCTGACCAGAGCATTTAGCCGTGAGGTGAGACCCTCGCAGCTCCCTTGCCCCCAGGCATGTGTGCTGCGATAAATCAGAGTGACAGCTGCTCCACAGCTTGGGTGCCTGGGTGACAAGCGGAACCCTTGCTGACGCTCAGCCCACATACAGCGTGAGCAAGAGCAAACCTTTGCTCTTTCAGCTGCTAAGATTTGGACGCTGTCTGTGTCCTGCGGCATGACTGAACCTTTCCTAGGAGGTGCCCCAACAGGATGTTAAAACTGCCCATTGCGCTTACACAGCTCCACCGACACCATTCCACCCCACACCATCATCTCTGGCAGAGGAGCTGGAATCGCTCTCACCTGGATAAGCGTGAGGAATAAGCATCCCGGCTGCCACGTCGCTGGTGGTGTCAGGAGTAAACTTGTCTGAGATGACGGTCACGGAGCATCGGGGGGCCAGTCTGGACGTGCACACCGCGGTGGAGAGCCCCATCAGGCCTGCCCCCACCACTGCCACCCGGGCCGTGTCCATGGGCCTGTGAGGAGGGATGTGTGGGCTGCACGCCTTGTCTTAAGGATTACTCCGTCCAGACAAAGTTTGGCCCTGACAGTTCCTTCCTTAGGTCTTCAGCCTCTCAGAAAAAGACCTCTCTTGTTGGTGTTTCTTTTTTTTTTTAACCTGCCCCCACTGCCCCCAGCCCTGTCGATGTTTCCTGTGGGATAAAGAAACATCCCTCTAAGCTCTCTTCCCGTTAAACACTGAGGTGTGGAGAGCAAGGTCTCTGTGGGCTTTCAGATGTTAGCACCAAACTGGATGGATTTGCCTTTAGAACACATGACTGCTCAGTGGGTCTGCATCTGGGGGGAGATTGCTACTCATTCTGCCCCCTTTACTCACCCATTTTCCCTGCGGGCACAACCTGGGGAAGGTTGGTGAGGTGAGCCGGGCAGTCTGTGCTCCCGGAAACCACCTGGGGAGCAGTCAGGAGCGGGCATGACCCATGAGCGGGCATTTAGAACTCAACTCTTACTGTTCACAAATGTGCTTTTAATCATAAAGACGTTACAGAAAGTTTGAGCGACTGGACTCATCATCTCCCCGGACATCTGCCCCAGTCGCTGTCCCCACCCTGTAACCCCCCACGCCGGAACTCCCCCAGCCCTTGGAGAGTGCGCTTCCAGATAGGGAAACCTAGATCCCTGCCTGGACCCGGTCCTGGACTGGTCCCGTGTCCCGGGGAGTGGTCCGTGCTCTGCTAGCCCCCGCTACTTCAGTGTAAAACAGACCGATGGGTTCTTGATCAGCTCCTTTAGGTGATAACTAAGACAGACCCACTGAGCTTGTCCCACAAACTGGGCTCCTGTGAGAGTCTGCGCGGACGTGCAGCAGCCCGGCTGGGCGTCCTGAGACCGGCACCCTGCGTGGGGACGAGGGCTGCCGAGGGCTCGACACCCACCCACACCCTCCCACTGGGCCCCGCTCCACTGGCAGCTTCCCTGCCTGCCTTGGCTTCCCCGTGTGTCTGTCCACGTCTGTCCACGCTCTCTCTCTCTGTATGGCTGAGGTTTAAACTCTGGAGAGAGAAAATGCAATTGTCCCAGGTGGTCATTGCCACCCCTGTTGGACAGAGCTCCAGCCCCAGAGCAGCGTGTTGGGCTAAGCCAGCCCGTAAGTCTGCCCTGGACACAGTCGCCCTCCTCTGTCCAAAGAGCAGTGCCCAGGGCATGGGGTCACGCTGCGAACCATGGCCTTCCTCACACAGAGATGCGCCTTTCCTCTGGAGGGGGTGAGCAGGCCCTCTGCAGGGGCACACGAGGGCTTGGCTGTCGGTGGTCTCTGCCTTCTCTTCTGGTTCTGAATTTCTCTTGCACTGAGAGAGTTTAAAGCCCTCCAATGGGGTGTAATGTTATTTCTGTTCCTCAAGCGGACTATGCATTTCCACAGCCATTTGTTAATCTGATTGCTGTCCCCTGGGCTGCCCAGCTGAGGGAGCAGGCCTGCCAGGGCTGGGACAGGCCCGAGGAGCGCAGCCCCTCGTGTGTTCTCTGGAGGCAGGAGGCAGCCGCCCATCCCCGTACTGGCTTCGCTATTTCACATCGGCCTCCTCTTACAGCAACCCTCTCAAAATAGCTGCGATAAATTGCGAGGGCAGGCAGTCTGCGGCTTAGAATGACCAGCTGCCAGGGAAGAGAGGAGTGAGCTGGCAAGGCGGGTGCTTCCTGGCACAGTGACCTGTCAATCACTGTCCCCTGACCCTATTAAGACATACCTCCAAACTCCCAGAGTATGGACAGAATGACCCCTGAGCCAAAAGCCGGAGGATTCAGGTACCTGTCTCTGAAAAAGCAGTCTTGGAACCCACCGAAGGCTCTGGCACCAAAACTTGTTTTCCAGCGACTGGCTGGTCTCATGCCCTAAGAGACAGAGGGAAAGCAAAACTGCTTCCCATTGGGGAGTTTATTAAGGGCATTCCCTCTAATCTTACTCTCCATTGGCCCACACGGCTGTGTTTCTGTCACTCATTACCCTGGAGAAAGGAGCAAGTGACCTCATCTCATGAGCTCTGGGAAGCTGTCTCTGCCCAGCCCCAGGGAGCAGGTTCTCTTGCAGCAGCCTGCCCTTCCTGCTCCACACGCTCCACCTCGCCGCCAGCCCGCGATTTCTCCAGCTGATTTGGAGGTGTGGTAAACAACGGCGAGCCTGTCCGACTTCCAGCAAGTTCTAGCCAGCAGCCAACACCGGTTACCTCACGTGGCTGCCCAGAGCGAGCTGCAGTCTCCCGATGGGTGCCTGGCTCTGCTGGGTCAGCTGGGGGTGGGGCAAGGAGTGGGCAAGGGCAGAGTAATGTTGTTGTCACTAAGATGATGACCCAATTAGAGCTGAAAAGCTATTCAGGAGACAATCCGGGATAGGACCCAAATGATTCTTTAGCCCACATATTCAAACGAGGGAACCAATATTTGCCAAGTGTCGACTGAACACTAGGCTCTACACACTGTGCAGTCAATGAGTTTATGTCCAGGCAGGCGGTTTAATGTACCAATATAGAGATAATAATATTTTAATTAATATATATTTAGCATCAACCATGCGCATGACACCATATCACATAACCACCCTATGAAGTAAGCACTATTAATATTATCCCCATTCTGTAGACAAACAAATTGAGGCTCCAAAACAAGGAAGGGCCCAGGGTCTCTTAAGTGATCAAGCCCAGTCTGAGGATCAGACGCCAAGGCTCAAGCTCTTAACCAAAGCATGCACTTTGGTGCCCGGCGAACTGTCTGTTTCACCTTGAGCAAGTCACCTGACTTCTGAGCTTGCTTCCCCATCTGAAAAGTGGGAACAAACCAAGATTTCCCTCGCAGGTAGTTGTAAGCCTCTGGTAAGTTAAGATACGTAACATTCCTGGTAAGGTGGACCAGGAGATAGAGGGAAAAAACCCACACTGTTTTTTCTCCTACTACACTTACTACTCTCACAGTCACTCAATATAGCATTCCTGTGACTAGAAGTGTGGGGCCGTTTCCCCCGCAGGCTAAGCAATCAATTCTGCAGATTCCCTAGCGGACATCAGCAGGGTGTCCTCTGACTCCATTCAGTTCTGACACTGGCTACCTTACCTGGAGATGGCGTCAGATCCCACAGCTTGAGGCTCAGTTACAGGAGACCGCCCCCCCTTTCAGATGCCAATCACAAGCCCCAGGTTGTGGCCTGTTCTTCTGACCAATGGGCTATAATTCGAGGTTCCCACAGCCCCGTCTTCACATGCCGCTGATTAAGGTTCGATTTGCTAGAGCCAGTCACAGAATTCAGGGAAACACTTTACTTACGTTTGCCAGTTTGTTGATAAGGACGTCAGGAAGGATGCAGATGAACAGCAGATGGCAGAGATACAGAGGGCAAGGCCTGTGGGAAGGGGTGTGGAGCTTCCATGCCCTCTCTGGGGCACCATCTTCCAAGAACCTCCCTGTGTTCAGCTGTCTGCACTCTCCCCTGTCCTTTTGGCCTTTAACAGAAGCTTGTCTACCAGATGCTACGGATTAAATCATTGGCCATTGGCAATCAACTTCGCCTTCAGCCCCCTCTCCCCTCTTGGGCCTCAAACCTCTAATTATGCCTTGGTCTTTCCAGGTGACCAGCCTCCATTCTGAACCTGTCTAGGGGCCCCCAGGCCACCAGTTATCTCATCAGCATACAAAAGACACTCATATCACTCCAGAGAGTCCAAGGGTTTTAGGAGCTGTATGTCAGAAAACAGAGATGAAGATCAAATAAATATATTTCACAATAGCACAGGTGGTGTCACATTTTATCGAGCAGCTATTATAAAAAAAATCAATCAACAAACATTTGTAGAGCACTTTGTCCAAGGCATACTGTAAGGGCCATAACAGACTTAAGAATTTCTAGGAGGTTTTCTCCCTCAAGAAAGGAAGCAAGACAGTCCTCTAACAACGGGCACAGATGCACTATGAGGGGCTGTGAGGGCTCAGGAGAGAGGGGAGTATGATGCACCCGCATGGGTCCAGGGGAGAGGATGGCAAGTGAGGAAGGCTCCAAAGAATCAGTGGGATTTGGATGGACAAAGGAGAGGAGGGAGAGAAATCTCAGGAGGGAGAATGGTGTGAGCAAAGCCTCAGAGGCAGGAAGCTCAAAGCGCCTGAGGAAAGGGAAGGGGTGTGCAAGGGCGGAGTGTGAAAGCGGGAAGCAGGCCAGGCGGAGGGCTGTGTTCAGCGGGTGGTGGCCGCCACAGAAGGTATCTAGGAAGGCCCCTCCTGCCCCCTGCCAGGGTCAGGGCTCTCCTTTCCTCTGAAAAGCAAGAAGAGGTGAATGTATTTAGAAATGAAACCCAGAAAGAAAGTTTATCTGTGTATGGGTAAGACTAGTAAGTCCTTTATCTTGCTTTACACGGAGCTGTAGCAATATGATCAGAATGAGGGATCATTCAGAAAACTGAGAAAACCGTGACTGAGGAGAGAGCTTAAAACAGCCCTAGGGACGGTCTGGTGGGATCTAGTGCCATCACCTTACAGGCGAGTGGCTGAGGTCCAAAGAGATGACGTGGTCTGCCTGGGACTGCCGGCGAGCTGGGCTTCACACGCCCCCCACTGGGGCTGCGGGGGTCCCCGGAACCTCACCTCTGCAGCACATTTGGGGCCTCCCCTCCCACCCTGCCCCTCCTGCTCTGCCAGTAAATTAAGGGCCTGAAGCCAATGGAACCTGCGTTCTTCAGAGGACTGTTGAAGCCAGGCTCGGGGGCCCGGGATTCCCACATGTGCAGCAACAGGTCAGGACAGGGCAGCAGGGAAGGTGTGAGCCAGGGCGGCTCAAGCCTCTGCTATACTGGCAAGTAGCCCTGATTCCAGACACAGAAGTAGTGCAGTTATAATCGAGCCCTTTCCTCTTCATAAAGTAAGACTTTCAAGACTTACTTATTGGAACTTCCACGAAGATCTCTAAGGTTTGGTGTCTGATGTGGTGGATGAGCCCAGAGAGAGGCAGGGAACGAATGATGAAAATGAATTTACTCGGAGAACTAGCAGTTGCCAGTAAAATACCAGTCCACCGTAGACTTTAGAGATAAAAATAGCACCATTGCTGACTTCTGGCAAATTCAGACACGACAACAAACACCCACAACTCCCTGACACTCCACTGGGGGAAGCTGCCAAAGACGTTGGCTTCCATAGTCCACCTTTACAATCTTAAATCAGAAAACGCTCCTCTCCGCCATCGACAGGAATTTATTACGCACCCCTTTGCATACATCATTTTGTAGAACGAGCCCTTTGCATTTCGTATGTTTTCAATAAATATTTGAAAGGGGATGGGCAGGCCCTCAAAACTGAGCATTTGGTTGAATATATTCAGACCGTATTTTGCATATGAACTTCCCCAACAGCACACTTTTTAACAGTGATTTGGGGGGAGATTCAGCTTTTGTGGGGTCTGAAGTTTATACAGTTTCAAGAGCCCTCTTTAAAGTAAAAAATATATACCAAATCATGAAAGAAAAACTGCCCATGACCACTTTGATGCCATCTGACAGAGGAGGAAATTGATAGAAGGAAAAACAGAGTGGAAAAAGGCAGTGGCCTTAACTGATCATAGTGAAAATATTACGTTTGTGAAATTTATTTAATGAAAAATTTTACAGAATCTTATGACTAACTGAACCCATTACTAAAGTCCCTCACAAGAGCCAGCGCAAGTGAAGGGGCCTGAAGTTTACGCATCGTTGGCGTCAGAGTCAACCTTCCCTGCGGTGATCATGGACCAAAACTGACTGCCAGGTCACAAGGTAGATGGCAGTTATCCACAGATGACGAAATTGCAGAGTCCACACGGGAGGACAACAGTACGTTGCAGGGCACAGTCAACTGAGGACAGCAACAGCATGGTGGAGCTCTGACAGATGGGTCCCAAATGCCCACTGGCCAAGACCAAGACTGGACAGGACACCTAACAGGAGGTGGAAGAGTACACAGAGAATGGAGAAACAGCATTGTAAAATACTAGGCTCGTGCAAGGTGGCATTAAATGATGTAGATATATTTTTCATTTAATCTCCACATTCCCAACAGGGACATTGTATTATGACCCTGAATCTCCAAATGAGAAGACTGAAGTGAAGAAAGTTGATTTGCTTAAGCAGGCAGGCTTTTAGCCAGGCTTTTTAGCTCACAAGCGTCCACTGCCTCTCCTGCTTCACTGGCTGCCAAGGTCAAGTTAATGCAGGGCGTTAAATAAAACCGAGTAACAAGGGCACCCGCCTGAAGCTTACCTACTTGTATGTGGCTTGTTCTCTGACCTTTCCAATGCTGTAGTGAAGTATTCCTTGAAATATTCACAATCAGAGACAGCTACGATGTGCTGTGACCAGGTTCCAACTATTATAGATACATGTATCATCACTATTTTCCAAGTATAAAATCAGAAGGTTGCACATATTAAGAAATCCTGAAGGAACAAGGGATGTTCAGCTTCCTGTATGATGAATATTTGAAAATTGTCACAATGAAAAGCCTAGTTTTTCTCCCAATAAAGAATTTTTTTCCTTTTGAATTAAAAACACTTTTATCAATGTTGCTGGATATAAGATCAACATATAAAAATTAATCACATTCTTATATCCTGGCAATATGTAGTTAGAAAATATAATTATTAGAAATTTAGCATTTCTAACTGTAATGGACATTTATAACTAGGAATAAATATAACAAAAAATGAGCTGGACCTTTATGGAGAAAATTATATTTCACTGAAAGATATTAAAGCTGACCAAGTAAATGGAGAGTTAACCCATGACAGTGGAGAAAAGAGTCAATACTAGAAAAGAGTAATTTTGCCCTAAATTAATCTAAAAATTTAACTCAATTCAAATTGAAAGCATAACAGGCAGTTTCAGTAGCATCAGTGGGAGTGTAGTCTCCT